CGCAACAGCGCCGGCCACGCAAGCCAAAATGGGGCTGCCTACGTAAGTCTTCCCTTCTCGCTCTCTTTTTTTCGGCGATGCGCATGCTCAGACTGTTTTCTTGTACAGGGCTATCACAATCGGAACGCGAGCAAAGCGTCCCTACCTCAACACCTGTCGCAGCCGCCGATGCAGAATCACCATCAGCCTCTGGTCGCTCCGGTAGCTGCATCCATTCCCCGGTACTGCTTCGATAACGACAAGTATTGGTATATTATTGAGGCCAAGATGGAGGACGGCCGCTGCTGGGAGTTGTCCCGCTATTATCATGACTTCTATGATTTCCAGATTGCGCTTCTGACCCAATTCGAGGAGGAGGCTGGAAATCGAGGCAAGCCGCGCACATTGCCATTTATGCCCGGACCTGTAACCCATGTCACCGATGCGATCTCCAACGGCCGTCGCCAGAACCTGGACGAATACATAAAGAAGCTCCTCGCCATGCCTCCCCATATCTCCCGCTGTCAACTGGTCCGTCAGCTATTCGCACCTCGCCCAGGTGACTTTGAAATTGACCCGAGCGCGTTTGGAGAAGATGCTCGGTACTCCGGTGGCTCGCACCATTCCTCCACACAGGAGGCATCGCGCAGCGCGTCCCGCCAGTCATCTCAGGCTCAGATGAGCTCGCACCCCGACCGAACTTCGCACCAGCGCAGTCAGCCCTCCATCTCGCATCCGGCTGACAGACCACCGCCGATGAACCGACAGGCCAGCTCTCTCACCCAAGTGTCGACAGCCTCAAGCGGGGGCGCCATGAAAGTCAAGGTTTTCTTCCAGGACGACTTGATTGCCATTCGCGTCCCTAGCGACATCAGTTTCCAGCAGCTCCGGGAGAAGCTATTAGATCGTCTCAAGGTCAATGAGGAAATCGTGGTGCAATATAAGGATGAACCATCCGGCGCTTACATGGACCTGAACAACGACAGTGACCTTGACACCGCCATGCAGCGGAATTCCAAGCTCACCCTATACGTCGGGCTTGCATAAGAAAAGCCCACGCCACTTCTTCTTCTCTTCCTGAAAGCATGCATAGAATCATGGTTTTCCCGATGCAAGTTTGCGATAGATCGTTGTTCCCTGCGTCTGCCTTTGTCTCATATTTACCCCGCCACAACTGCGATCGACTGGTGGAGACGGTGTACGGTGTTCTGGTCTTGTCCTATTGTTCAATGTTTGTTTTGGAAAAAAAGAGCCTTTTGAGCGCTTTCTGACTGTTTGGTGTGGTTGCAAAATGCCAGAATGAGATGTCCGACATGTTTGATGTTTATGCCGTTATGTACTTCTCCTGGTTGATATATCCTTTTTTTCTTTATTTTTTTCTTTTGCATTGGATTCTGTCCAGTGGGCATATGACTTGTTGTGATGTTCCCATACCCTATTGAAGTTTTGTCCATCACATGTACATATGTTTTCTTTGCATATATACACCTCTATGTAGGCTTCTCTACCTACATGCAGTCGTATAGTGATATGTCTTTTTCTCAGCATTATCAGATACTCCAGCATAACATATCACAACCTTCCTACTCTGTACAGGAGTATTCCTACCTGGTATGTTGTACTGCGCCGATAGCCCCGGTCTCAATTGCCGCGTCCCGAGTCACATGATTCCGGTCGTCGGAAATCCCGCGGTTCTTTTTCGCCTCAGGCCAACGCAGCTCTGATGGAATTCGATTGCCATCTTAACAATTGACATACGCGCACCTGGCGCACACGCTCTCGTTCTCTTCATACTCCCGGTCTTCCGAGAACTTGAAAACTATTCTAGCAAGGAGACTGATGCCTTTCTTGGAAAGCTGTAAGGCGTACTCGCTTTGTTGACACCGACTACTCGTTATTCCTTTTCCCCGCTTGTCCGCCGCACTTGACCCATTATTTGTCAATTCTTCGGCCATAGAAGTATAGCCGATCGGAAGAATCAAGCCTCCAGTACCCCAAACCTACCGACCGCATACTTTTACAGAAGCGTTTACGATCCTTTCCGCTCAGCATCCCTTCATCGACTCATCTAAGCAACAAATGAGTCGGCCAACTGCGAAACTCTGCGCGGAGTCCCTTCCCTCAGCGCTGAGGAGCCGGGCCCCAGGGTTGCCGGCGAGAAGATCCGGACGTGGACGGGTACTGATTGGGGAGCGTAGGCGGAGTGTACATAGCAACAATGGCGCAGCACGTCATCAGGCGGCGGAGTCGCAGGGTGTTTGGTTGAATGCCAGGAATGCGCAGCCGAGGACCGGAGCGTATGTGCGTCGCTTTGCTACGGCAGCTGTGACTCAGCCTCAGACTGAAAGTATTGTGGGACAGACGGAGGATGCGAGGGCTGGAGTGTCTGGGGGTCCGTTGCAGGAGTATGAGGGACGGGTGCAGCAGGGGCGGTTGCGGGATGATCCGTATCAGAGGGGTGGGCTTTTTTCTCTACCTGCTTTTTCAGAGGCAACGATGAGCTAACAGAGTTAAGAGATTGTCCAAAAGCTGCAGGACCTGCATGACGTGTTGAAAGGCTATACTCCTCCGGCCGTTGTGCACCCGAGCGTTGAGTCGCTGGATCCGAAACCGAAGTCGTCCTTCTTCGGCTCGCTGTTTGGGCGCAAGAGCGCGAAGGCGGAGTCGAAGGTCCCAGAGAATCTACCCAAGGGATTGTATATGTATGGTGATGTGGGATGCGGGAAGACGATGCTCATGGATCTGTTTTACGAGACCTTGCCGGCCAACATCAAGTCCAAGTCGCGCATCCATTTCCACAACTTCATGCAGGATGTACATAAGCGCATGCACGTGGTGAAGATGCAGTACGGTAATGACTTTGACGCTCTGCCTTTGGTTGCGGCGGATATCGCGGAGCTGTCCAGCGTGTTGTGTTTCGATGAGTTTCAGTGTACGGACGTTGCTGATGCGATGATTTTGCGGCGGTATGTACCTGGAGTATTGGGAGGCAAGGGCTCGGCTGACGCTTTTCCTAGGCTACTAGAATCTCTCATGTCGCATGGTGTCGTACTCGTAACAACCTCAAACCGTCATCCCGACGATCTGTACAAGAACGGTATCCAGCGAGAATCCTTCATTCCATGTATCAATCTTCTCAAGACTGCTTTGACCGTGATCAACCTGAATTCGCCGACCGATTACCGCAAAATCCCTCGTCCACCAGCGGCCGTGTACCACCACCCGCTCGGTCCTGAAGCTGATCAGCACGCACAGAAGTGGTACGAATTTTTGGGCGATCCCAAAGATCCTCCTCATCCAGAGACACAAGAGGTTTGGGGCCGTAAGATCAATGTTCCGTCAGCCAGTGGAAAGGCGGTCCGTTTCACTTTCCAGGAGCTCATCGGAAGCGCAACGGGAGCGGCGGACTACTTGGAGCTTGTGCGGAATTACGAGGCTTTCATCGTGACGGACGTCCCAGGGATGACATTGCAGCAACGCGATCTGGCTCGTCGATTCATCACTTTTATTGACGCCGTCTACGAGAGCAGGGTGAGTAACTGGTGTTTCGTTTTTGCCCAAGTCAGGCGGAGGCTAAAATTTCTCTCAACAGGCCAAATTAGTCCTCACCACAGCCGTCCCACTCACGAACCTCTTCATGTCCGAGCAAGAAGTAAAATCCTCACTAGAAGAAAACGGGGACCACTCCGATCTCTCAGACGCCATGCGCATGATGATGGACGATTTGGGATTGTCAGTGCAAGCCCTCAAATCGACCTCCATCTTCAGCGGTGACGAGGAACGATTCGCGTTCGCTCGTGCCCTTTCCCGGTTATCCGAGATGGGCAGTAAGGACTGGGTTGAGCGCGGCTTGGGAGTAGGCAAGACCGTCCAGGAAGGGAAGAGCGAGCACGACGCGTGGATGAAGGCGAGGAGCCGCTGGAGCGAGGATAACATGTAGATTCAGTTCATACTAGACTTGTGGTTTTTTGTTCTATACTTGTGCATCATTTCGCGCCCATGACCAGCCTGTTTGATGGGATGTTATGCAGTGTATATCTCATTTCACATATAGAACTACCCATATATACAATTGCGATACCACTTCACCTAACATCTAGTCTACCATCTATACACACCGTACCTCTCTACTGATACGATCAGATAAGCCAAACGATAAGCCACGACGTCATCAGATCTCTCAATGAGAGGTACAAGATACTGTATAGAGAGGTAGATTTCTTACCTATGAGAAGTAGAGAGGTACCTTGCATCCAGAGCACGAAATATTCATAAAATACCCCTGGTACTTCACTGTCCAGGACTGAATATATCAATTGCAGGATGAGAAACATCCTGTTACTACGCGACTATCGTCGAATCGGTCGCGCAACGAACATAAGCGGGCTTTCAGCGACGACCAGTGTTCGCGATCACGGAAACTGGATTATACTCCGTAGGGCTGCCCCAACTAGATGTTGCTTGAGTGGTTAGTCAGGTACGCTGAGTCCAAGGCAAGGTAAGGTACTCCGTCCGCTGAAATCAGAGTAGATGGAGGATGCTGCCTCGGGGATGTATCATTCTGAAGCAGGCCTGAATTACGATAGGTAGATTGAGGTTTTAAATAGGATTGTGGGAGCAAAACTTAGCTCTGGTATTGCGACATACGAATTTACCAGGGACTGAATCATCATGTGTATAGATGGAACGAGTAAGGTGGCTGGTCTGGGTTGGACGATGGTGACAGAAACATGAGCAAACCCCTGAGCAAGTCGCCCATGCACTCGTCTTCAGTACCTTCAGCACGTTTAGACTTCACAGATCATCAGCCAGTTGACCACCGCCTGTCTCTTGACTGAGGACTCTTGAGGGGCATTCTCGTATTGCCCCGCCTGAATTTCAAGGCAGCAGCCGGTTGCCTAAACCTACTACACGTCGTGGTCTCTGATACTCTCCGTATAAATATCATCACACATGATATGAACAGAGTCCTCTCAGTACTGAGACTTGTCTGACCACTTCCTCGAATACCATTGCGCTCAATGACAATGGAGTCTGGAAACGCGCGCTTCAATTTACCGGGTTACTCCGTACCCCTGAACTGGACCGCTCCTGACATGTTCCCTAATGCCCTGGGAAGCAGTCTCGCGGAGTAAGTTGTTTGCTGATACAATTGATTGCTCTGAAGCTAAGGATGCAGACGCTTAGATACTCATCGGGAGATCTTGATGATGCGAGCACTCAACTCCATCACCGACAAGCCGGATTGGGAGAAAAAGGTGCGTTTGCTTTCTTCCCTGAATTGCGCATCGCTGACGTTACGTTTAGGTCTTTGATGAAGAAATCACTGCCAAATGGCGCAAGGAAATCATGGACAGCGGAGAGGATATCACTCCCGACATGATGAACTGGATCATCAAGGAGGCGCAGTGGAAAGCTGAGGTCTTCAGGGACACCAAGCACATCGTGGCATTCGATGCTGGCGTGGTCAAATCTGACACTGCCGTTGCGGAAGACTTGCGACAGATGCTGAGAGATGCTGTTCGGCCCCTGGAGGATGTGCCTGAAGAGCTCAAAGACTACCACCCTGGATCGGACGACAAGGTGGTCGACCTGGTCCATCCGTCGCTGTTCCCGGTCATCTACGGCCGGACTCGCATTCTCCATAGAAACTTGATTGGGCTAAAGGACTTTTTGAATAATGTCGGGGAGGGCAAGGTACTTGCAGTTCCTCCGGAAGAGGATGCTACTGTCGACCGCGACTGGCGAAGCGTCCATCGACCCTACAGCCGCAAATTCCAGTGGCTTCCCTGTGACGTGCATTTCGCTGACAATGGCGAATGTCGCATTGCGTCGTATATCAATAACCTGCACCCGAAGAAGCACCAGCCGCTGTACCAAGTCATCGAGAAGATCCTGACTCAGACCATTCCGCTGTGGAACACGACCTTGACCCTCGTGCGGGATGATTACAAGCGGATCCCCTACTATGATGTCGAATATGACGAGCATCCCGAGCCGGAGCCGAAGCCGGAAAACAAGGAAGACGAGTATAGTAACGAATACTATCAACGATATGACGAATGGCAAAAACGACAGCCCATCCGACGCCCGGAACCGGGCGAGTTCGCCCCCCATGTAATCGAGGCCGAGGGTCAGATCAACCTGCGCGAGGAATTTGCCCAGAATGGATTACAGGTAATTGTCAAGCTAGCCAACATCGAGCTGACCCCGGAGAAGCCCGAGTACGACGGCGGATCGTGGCACATCGAGGGACAATTGGTATGTTTCTTTGCCGGGATGGCTGGAGCACACACTAACTTTCACAGAATGAGCACATTTGCGCTTCGGCCATCTACTACTACGACAGCGAGAACATCACCGACAGCAGACTCGCGTTCCGGCAACGGGCGGATACAGAAGCCCTCTCAGACATCTCCTATGAGCAATCGCGACACGAATTCCTCCAGGAGATCTTTGACTTGGATCCTGAGGCGGGTTGGAACGAGGGCAATGTCACTCAGGTGCTAGGCAGCGTGGACACTCGGCAAGGACGCTTGCTCACCTTCCCAAACAGCCTCCAGCACCAGGTGTCGCCGTTTGCGCTGGCAGACCGGACCAAGCCGGGTCATCGCAAGATCCTTGCTTTCTTCCTCGTAGACCCTCATCTCTCGATTATTTCTTCGGCGAATGTGCCGCCTCAGCAGGAGGACTGGTGGAGGGAACGGCAGGAGGTTGTTGGGAAGTTGCTGAGCGGGAGACTCCCAGCCGAGTTGCAGAAGATGGTCAACGAGGGTTTCGAAGCTACGCCCATAACCATGGAGGAGGCAAAGCAGTACCGCAAAGAATTGATGGAGGAGCGCTCCAACAAGTCGCAGGAACAGAACCGGGACTTCGAAATTGGGGCGTTTAACTTGTGCGAGCATTAACCGCTTTTGCATGTATGTATTTTATACCCTATCAAGTAATAGTTGCTTCAGAAATCGTCCCCATCTCATCTACTATGCACTCTTTCGTAGCCCAGACCTCTCCTCCCAGTCTCTGGCGTTATGTGAACGAACCCGTTTCCAGGAAAGACACATTTGGCAAGTTTCGAGACACGGAAACCGGCAGATAGTGTTAGCCGGCTTGGTGGATGAAGGCTGCTTAAGTCCTTTTGTGCAATGTAAGGCGATCACTGCTATGCTCGTTGCAATTGATTAGTCTTGTATAGTGACAAGCCAATGTCCTGCTGCTGACTGGACGATACTCAGTAGCAACAAGTGAACAAGAGCTAGCAGAGCTGCATGTACCCCTGCTGTGGAAGGAGGTAGATTGACATACTAGTTCTGCTTTGAATTCGGGCTAGATAACGTCGCACACTATCACGAGGCACAATGTCATTATTGGCGACACTCTCTGCATACTTCTGCAGATATCCGAGGCATGAGAAGTTACACAAGGCGCAGGCAAAGACTGAAGGGAGAAGATTTCGCCGTCTCTTTAGCCTTCCCCATGTTAACAACGACTCCTTTCTTCAATGCTTTGATCTGAGTAGCGTTAGAGAAATGCTTTCCAAGATGGCCCTGCGCATGTCGCGCTCACAGCGCTTGATCATGGTGATCGGGATATCATCATGTTTCTTCTTGGCTGAAATCTCAAGTATTTGTCATCTGTCCAGATTAAAAGATCCTGGAATTTGAAGCTGATACCAGCAGTTGGCTTATATACTCATTCGCTAGCTCTGGTGGCAGATGCCTTTCACTATGTACGCTTTGCTTCATCTTCCAGGTGACATCTGCTGAATGGTCCAGTTGACCGACCTAATTGGGTTCGTTGTCACCTTGTTGGCCTTGAAGGTAGGATGAATGCCTTGAGGAACCTAGAGTATAGAAGTACTGACACAGAAAACAAAAGCTGTCTGAGATCGATAATGAGCCGAAGATTCTGGCCTTCGGGTGGCAGCGGGCACCACTATTGGGAGCTTTCTTTAACGGAGCACTTCTCTTTGCGCTGGGAATAAGCATTCTATTGCAGTCGGTGGAGCGATTTATATTATTGCATAGTTTGTGCCCTCCTTCAATGCGCAGGCGACTTACTGATATTCCACAGAAATCGGGAATCCCAGACTCATGTTCATAGTTGGATGCGTTGGCTTGGGTCTCAATGTCCTCAGTGCTATTATTCTTCAAGGCAGGCTCGCCTTCCTGGATGGCGCAGTCTCGTCACTAATGTCAAGTCATTAGAGGATTGTCCCCATGTTCATCAACAAGCGTTGAATGCTTCGATAGACTCGTCCATAAGAGCCGAGGACGGGGCAGGGATACACAAGGTGTGCACTCATTGACACAGTTGCGGGTTTACGCATAAGCTCAGCTGAATCTTTGACTCAGGACAATATAGGACTTCCACCTAAGAGGACAAAATCCAGTTGCCGTGATCTTGGAATGCTAGGAGTTCTGCTCCATGTTATCGGAGATGCAGTGAACAATCTCGGCGTTATGATCGCTGCTTTGATAATCTGGTTGACGGAATTTGAAGCACGATATTACGCTGATCCCGGAGCAAGTTTATGGATTGCCTTCATAATCATACTATCTTCTCTTCCGCTCCGTGTGTTGTTCTCCATCCGTGGAGTTGTTAGGTGGTGCTGACACCTGTCAGTGCGGAAAACCGGATCCATCCTCTTGGGATGTACACCCTCTGGCGTAGATCTCAATGACTTAAGAAGCGATCTGGAAAAAGTAAGCGATGTTGTATCACTCTGATATCTATCTCAGCTCTAACTGTGACTTGCACAGATCCAGGGAGTGCTATCAATTCATGAAATCAATGTGTGGCATATCAGCCAGCACAAGTCCTTAGCCGTCATCGGAGTCCTCGTCACGGATCAACATGTCTCAGGATTTACCAAGCTGATCAGCATGGTCAACGAGTGTTGTCAGAAATATGGCATTCAAGCGGTTGCTCTTCGGCAGATGTTGCGTTCGCAGGAATTGTCACTGGCAGTGGTAGACCGAACTTGAGAGCGAAGAAGGCAATAGAATGTCATGTTGGGCATAGAATGGATAGGCTCAGGGGATGCTTGCAAGCCTAAATCATGTCAGGAATGGGACGGTCTGCGGGATGCTCTTTCTCACCTGACAAGCCTGTGTCACTTCTACAACAACCAAACTGCTTGGTTGCCATTACTCTCCTACTACCCTCTCCCGCCTGATCCCATCCATATTATCCTCATTGTCCCAGTAATTTGATCAAAGAGCTGATCCGAGCTTGCATATTCATTCTCCACCATCTCCGCATCTCTGGCGGAATGATTCCGCCATGAAGCCGAAATGCTCTTCTCTGGCCCCGTAAATATGTCAATGTCAATCTGCATGATCTTCAGTCTAGCGGCTGCCTGAAGGACGAAAAGGGCAACTGATACGCCCTGGGTGGCTAAGACCACATGACCCCATGCGGATATACATGAAAGGACCAATGGTACGAATTTCATGAGGTGAGAGCTTGTCGGTTCTCTCAAATCAACAACCGCTCGGCAGATAACAGCTTCTCCAATCTCCACCATGGCGTATCTCCAATGTCTATGGTTATCTCCCTCGGAGGCGCGGAGAAGGCTAATGTCTCCTGATTGGAACTTGTCACCGCATTCCGATTCCGCGATGTAAGGAGGTTTAGCATGAACGAGTTCTACGTATCTGCTTGGGACAGTGTCAAGGGGATTGGTACATAATAGCGTCTTCGAAGAGAGGTATAAGATATACTCCTCTCTCCTCCTCCATGATCTAACTTTAACTTCTTGCTTGCTCGTCTATTAAGGGTGCCTTCTGATCAATCTGCGGACTACAAAATGTCTGAACAGAATTGGGAAATTCGAGCACGCCGAGCTAAAGACGTCCTTCTAAATTCTGTTCCCAAGCAATGGATCCTCCCCGCACACAGACTGCCTCCTGCGCACCAGAACCATGTCGAGGATTTCCCTCGAAAGAGCGGTGTCCTCAGCGACAGAGAAGTCTCTATCACCGAGATGTCTGCTACCGCGCTTGTAGCAGGCATGGGAGCGGGCCTACTGAGTGCCGAGGAAGTAGTTATTGCGTTTCTCAAACGAGCTGTCTTGGGTCACCAGTTGGTGTGCTGCGCAACCAGAACCTACATTTCAATCTGCTTTTGGATCAGCTAACAGTGATAGCTCAACTTTGCTACAGAGTTTATGGCAGAGAGAGCCATTGCTAGAGCTAAAGAGCTTGATGAGCACTTTAAGCGGACAGGAAAGCTTGTTGGGCCCTTGGTAGGTTGGCCTATCTTGCCAAAAAATCAGCCCTAACGGCGAGTCAACTGTAGCATGGCGTCCCCATCAGCGTCAAAGAGCATTTCGAAATCAAAGGTCGAACCTGCAACGCAGGCTTTGTGGCATGGTACGATTCCAGCACAACAACCCAAGCCGCCAGCTGACAGCACCCAGGGCCGATGACATTGCAAACGAAGACGCATTGCTTGTCCAGTATCTCGAGAAAGCAGGCGCAGTTTTTCATGTGCGAACGAACCAGCCGCAGTCACTAATGGTAAGCAACCTTTGTCCACCTGCGAGGACCGCATACTCAACCCATTTTAGCATATCTGCTGCGACAACAATCTCACCGGTCCCACAACGAACCCCTACAACCGCACCCTCACACCCGGCGGCTCCTCAGGCGGCGAGGGCGCCTCAATGGGTTTCAAGTGTGCTGCTCTCGGCGTCGGCACCGACATTGGCGGGTCCATCCGAGCCCCTGCCGGCTTCTGCGGTGCATATGGGTTTCGTCCCACGACTCTCCGTATACCTGCGACAGGAATCAAAGTTCCCGGCCCAGGACAGGAGTCCATCCGCGGCACTGCCGGACCTCTGGCAAGCCAGAGTGTCGAAGATCTGGATCTCTTCCAAAGAGCCATACTCGACCAGGAGCCATGGGAGACAGAAACATCCCTGGTCCCGTTACCCTGGAGGCGCGTAAAAGCCACCAAAGACATGACGGTTGGCATCATGTGGGATGATGGGTAAGTCCCTAGACCCCATCCATAATTCTACCCTTAGACAAGTACTGACTGTCCAGATGCGTCCGCCCGCATCCCCCCGTCACCCGAGCCCTGCAACACGCCAAAGAAAAGCTCCTCGCAGCCGGCATAAAAGTCGTAGACTGGGAACCCTACCGCCACGACCACGGGTGGGAGATTGTCGTGCGTCCCTCCCCTTCAATCCTGCACCCATCCCTTACCTCTCCCCAACTAACCAGCCAAGTCATCCCTCTACTTCCCCGACGCCGCCAACAGCCAACGCACCGTCCTTTCCCAAAGCGGCGAGCCCCTCCTCCCCCTAACAGAATGGGCCTTCGCCTACAGCCGCGCTTCCGCGCTCACCATTCCCGAGAACTGGGCCCTGAACTACCAGCGCGATGCCTACCGCGACGCGTATCACGCCCTCATGAAATCCCGCGAGGTAGACTTCATCCTCTGCCCGGTGTACGTCGGCGCGGCGGCGGTGATGGGTGAATCACAGTACTGGAATTATACTGCTATCTGGAACATCCTCGACTACCCGGGTGTTGTTTTCCCAAGTGGGCTCGTTGTTGATATGGAGTTGGATCCGGTGGATGGTGGGTATAGTCCGCGGAGCGAGGTTGATGCGCGGGAGTGGGCGAAGTATGGCCCTGAGCGATATGAGGGGGCGCCAATTGGGTTGCAACTGGTAGGCAAGCGTTTCAAGGATGAGGAGACCCTTGCGGCAGCGGGCCTTGTCTCGGATATCGTGCAGGGTAGAGCAGAGGTTATCAAATCTGGGCTTTGAGCCTCGCGTCTAGCTAGGAATTACACTTAGTGAAGCGCTCGCTACACAAGACAAATCCAAGTATCCATACATCCTGTCATTATATCCATTCAATCGTCAGATACGTACATACATGAAAATCAAGTGATG